GTCTGAGCTTACTCTCAGGAGTGAGATGATAGATTATTATTATTATTATTAATGTCTTTATTCAATATTATATTTTGGTACAATATAGAATTCTCAGCACAGGGTATTTCAACAAGTTACTTACTGAACAACGAACAAAAGGCAGTAGCGAATACATAAAGAAATATATAAAATAAAAATAAAATAAAAAAACCCAAAAGAAACTACAAACTTTTAAAATTAAAGACATGTTAAGAATGTAAGTTATTGACTAGGTTAATTCTAACAACCTGTTCGTCACAGAGTATATTTGCTAGGTAAGGTATTATAGAACTTTTATACTTTTCCTTGCGTGCAAGGATTTTAATGTAATTACTTCTCGTTCTACCAGAAGATATACAAGGAGAAAGATAAGAGTGAAGGGGATGGCTAGTATCTGATAAAATAATACCTGCCAGGAGTTTGCATGACTTTAAATGTCTATCCACAACCATATTAATTATGACCTCGAAAGATTCACCACACGTCTTACTAACTGCCTTTAGCACTCTTCGCAATACAGCAAAGTCTTTTCTCAAAAGCCCGGGAAAGAATAATGGAGAACAGTAAATAATAATAGGTAATATGCAAGAATTGACAAATTGTAAGAGAAAGTGACGAGTAATTCCAAGAGCATGCAATCTCTTTATGTAGTAGGTCAGACGGAAAACCTTCTTTGATAACGATAAAACGTGGGAAGACCAAGACAGATCAGAGGAAAAGGTGACACCAAGATAATTGACCTTCGACACCGCGTTTATCAAAGAGTCTCCAATGGTACAAGCACTATGGGATCTCAAAATAGTGTTTATATTCCGTTCATGTCTCATACTAAAGTTAACAGCTTGACATTTAGATGGATTAAGTATGAGACCATTACCAACAGACCAACAATCAATACGAGACAAAAACTCATTCATTTCTATGGGATGTAAAGTGGAAGAGATAGGCATACATACAGTGAGATCATCCGCATACTTCACAAAAGTGTTTTCTGTGGAAGATGGCAGGTCATGCAGAAAAAAAGAGGATAGAAGAGGTGAAAGAACAGCTCCTTGTGGTACACCTTCCTGAGACAGTAGAGAATCTGAACTCTTTCCTCCAAACACAGTGTACTGTTCCCTTCCAGAGAGGTAGGAACACAGCCAGTTGGTTATCCAGCTGTCAGTGTTGACGCTGATTAACTTGTTAAGTAAACGTTGTCTTGGTATAGAGTCAAAAGCTGAAGTGTAGTCTAGAAAAGCACATCGAACATAGTTCTTACCCTTTTCTAAGTTGAACACTATGTTGTGATGCAGAACTGCAACAGCATCTAAAGTGCTTCTTTTGCGCCTGTATGCAAACTGGTATGGGTCAGTGTGCCCTTTTATCGCAGGCTGAAGTGGAAGTACTAATAATTTTTCCATGGTTTTGAGGAAAGGTGAAGTTATTGCAATAGGTCTAAATTTTACATTCTTATCACCAAATGCTTTCTTGGGTACAGGAATTATCTTCATCTTTCTCCACATTTTTGGTATGAGATTAGATGAGAAAGATCTGTTAAATATAGTTGTGAACGGATGACACAGAACGTCAGCACATTTTTTAAAAAGGATGTTTGGGATACCATCAGGACCCAAACATCGAGATGAATTCAGCGACTGGAGACATCCTCGTACATCAGTTTCAGTGAAAGTATGAACACAGCTATTTTTTAAACCCGTGGATAGAGGGAGCATCACATCAGATGACTGACGTACAAAAGACTTATTTAAGTCACAAACATTCAGCTGGTTATCGCTTCTAAACTTTCTGTCACCTGTAAGTTCTTTAAAGAATTTCCACATACTTGTAGAGTTTTTGCAAGATAAGAGTTTTTGAGTAAACATGCAGTTGAGACGTCTAATCTCTAGGTTTATCAGACCATTTAGCTTACGAACTTCATTTGAGTTCTTCTCCTTGTACATTCTTTCTTTCAACCTCCGTAGTCGTTTTAGTTGTGAAGATGTAAGTCGATCAAAACTTACAAAAATGGTTTCAGTGGGACAACAAATATCAAAACAGAATTTAAGGTAACAAGTGATAACATCAGTAGTGTTTTCGAGTGAGTCATCTGTAAATAATTCCCAGTTAGTCGTATGAAACATGTTTTTTAGATTTCGGATATTTTCTTCTGAGTAATTCCTATATTTGACTTTCTTGGTTTGATGTAAGAGTGTACTCTTCCCGTACTTTCCATATACTTTATGTAGAACACGAATTAAACAGTGATCTGAGCTAGACAATGGAGCACGTTTACGAGTTGCATATATACACACATCATTAATGAAAACGAAGTCTAAATGAGCATCCAAACGAGTAGGAAAATCTACTACGTTTTGGTGACCTAGTGACGTAAGGAAGCTACAGTCACATGAATTGAAATCACCACATACAACTGAAAGTGAATCACTGAAGGCAGTAACAGCGAACTCAGTGAATTCATCGGCAAAAACAGATAGTGCAGATGATGTGCAATCTGGAGTAACGTAGATATTGGTAACATAAACATATTTGTATTTATTCAGATGTTTTGGACGACATCTTAGAGTTAGACAGTCGATAAAGTCATTTGAAAACTTAAAACACACAAACGAAGATCGACACCAGTTTATGTTTACAAACGTAGCTACACCGCCACCACACCTTTTTTTATTGTTCGATCGATCCTGACGATAAATTTTGAAATCATGTAGTGATACAAGGCAATCATCCTGTAAATCATTCAACCAAGATTCTTGAATTGTGATGACACCACAATTACGATACGTATTTTGACTAAGCAGGAATTGCAGATAGTCCACTTTGTTGATTAGTGATCGGCAGTTAGAATTAAGTAGCTCGGGAATCGACATACGATTGATGTTCATTCTCTTTAACGCATATTGCCAACCACCACGATGCATTTTATAGTACTTTTTCGTAACTTGTGCAGCGAAAGGTTGTAGGCTTTTCATAAAAGCGCCTGAATAGGTTATGCGGTTAATGGACATAATTATAAATTAAAACAAATGAAAAACAGATAACTTGTTGAAATAATCAGATGGCAGAAACAGGTAGCCCAGATATTCAAGCAGGCCGCCTAATCAATCAATGTAGCTGGAGAATTCGTGTATCTAGGTGGAGGGGTAAAGGTTGAGATCAGTTTACATAGACTGAAAGCCAGTGTGGCTTATGCCAATCTGGTTCATCTTGAGTGCCGTTGTGATGTTAACCTGGTTGCAAATGTTGGGTCTGCAACACATCAGTGAGAGCAGTTTTATACAGTGCTTGTGAAACCTGGTCTATAAGGGTTGAGGATGCTAGGCGACTCTGTGTTTGGATATTTTTGATTCCAAATGATTACTGAAATTCAGTGGCAACACCGCATTTGTAATATGGAGGTTCGGAAATGTATGTTCGGGCATAATGACGACAACTCATTTAATGTCACCATTTTGAAATACCGAATTCGGAGGCTTGAACATGTCTATGAGTGTCACCCAGACAAATCTCATATCGTGTATTAAATGCCGACGATCGGACTGGCTGTAAAAAAGCGGAGTAGTGGTCAGCATATGAAGCTGGACCAGGTTATAAAAAAAATGTATATGACTGGCATCTGTAGATCAATGGCGACACCATAGTTTGGGTTTGAGAGATAATACAACTCAGTAATTCGAGACTATCAGACATGGCTCAGAACAGGAACCAATGACGATAAAATGTAATTTTATTTCGCGCATGTTATAAAATGCAGAGGTACTTCTTTAACAGAAGGGTTTTTTATGGCTGTATTTTTTTTTAACTGAAAGGCTTCTCCCATCAAACAGTACTGCAGTTCACTTATTTTTATTCGTTTGTCTCCCTTTTCACAATCTCACTTCTTATTGCGTGACGCATATTTATTTTCTTATATAAATATATATATATATATACCAGTGCTTGCGTTTGAATAAAACAAGTCTTGAAGACAGGAAGATATAAACCGAATTGAAAACCTTCAATAAGTACGTAATAATTTAAAAAGCCGAAATGATTTCGGATAAATTAAACACTTGATTTTAGTTCGATCTATATAGTTGATACTCTCCAAAAGACAGTATTTGCATATGAGAACTTTTGTTAGCATCTCATTGTGATTTAAAGGTGTACTAGTCATAGTTCTCCTGTTTGATGAAAAAGTGACTGTTTTACTGACTGTTAGGGATGCAGAGGAATATACCAATAATTATCATGTTAAGTCCAATGGTGTCCTAGGGCTTTAAATGGACATTTCCTACTGGTCGATATTTGTTCACTTGTTAAATATTGTACAAAATTTTGTTTACTATTTTATGGTACGATGTGGTATGCTTGATTGGTATATAAGCAGTGTGTTTGAAATATAACGATTCATATCTCAGAGGTTGTGACTTGTGTTCTGGACTCAACTGGCTGGGCTAGACAGGGAAGCAGGACCAATCAGAACTGTAGGCCGTTCGTGCGTGTTTTACGTGTCACTGATTCGATCTATAATACACTGCTCTCTAATCTTTTCAGTAACGTACACGACAATTGGCACGGGGTAAAAATCGACCCAAGTTTGAAGTCACAACACTGACTCAATCAGTCGTGGAAATTATAAGATGAAATATATATATATATATATATATATCATAGAGAACAATCTACATGGCTCTTAAAAAAGGTGATGAATTTATAGTTCAATACCCAGTTGACAAAAAATACAGAACAAAAATCTTATCCTTAATAGAAGTAAATATTGATCGGCAAAAAATTTGTCTGAAGGGTTCCAAAGGTTGATAAGAATATATGTAGACATCTCGAATATAAATAAACATCCTGTGTTATTTGAGAAACTCCAAGTTGGTAACACAGTTATATGACGAAAAAAGCGACACTAGGATTAAAACTGTCTACATCATTTGGAGAGTCGTGTAACTGCAATGAAACAATACCAATAAGGAGAAAAAAAGACTTACTAAACAATTCTAAGTTTGATTCAGAGTATTCTAACGAACTATGAGAAAAAAGAAAAGGCATTAAGGTAATGCTGACGGCTGAGTACACAAAACAAAATCAATAAATTAATTCATAATGCTTTTCACACGAGGTCACTATGACTTTAAACAATTTACGATGTTTTTATCAGAGCATTAAACGTCGAAGTCTGGGAAACGAAGAGAATAATTAAAACTAAAACAACAGTCACTATTCTAGATGTTTCCAACCGTTCGTGCTACCTTGACATAGTGGTTAGGCTCACATATCGAGATGAAATAATCGGACAATACTGACTGGAAAAATCGTTCCTCAAGGTTCTACAGTGACTGACAGGTCGGTTGAAGAGCGGTACGACTAGAAGCAGCAAACCCAAGGTCCGAGGGTGAATTCGTACTACTAACTGTGCAAACGTGTGACGGCAGTAAAAGGTTTCCCTCAGACAACCAGCATAACAACGATGCTACCTTTCTACAATGGAAGGGTGAAGCTAGAAAAGGTTGACCCTAAACCTGCACAACTCACCTTATCCCACGGATTTCATTCTCCGGTTGTTAGGTCTCAACAAGTTGTCCCTTCGACACTGCGGTCACGCTCTCAGATCACTAAAACCAACTCTAGCCCAATTTCCTTCTCAAGTACCTCTAGAAGAACCCTTCTACGGTGTGGGCAACCGGGAAGTGATAACCGCCCTCATACCTTTAACAGCACTCAAGACCACTGTATTCATAATCAACCTCACTCTTCAATTCCTATCATCCCTCCTACATCGACTTTCAAGCCTAAGCTTCCTCCTCAAGTGTCACCATAGCCGACGATTCTAGTGCGCAAAACACTGTCTCAGGTCTACTGAAACCTCGCTCAAAACTACACATTGGAGCCTTCAGAGTACTCACCTTATGTCAAATCGATCAGTAGGCCTCCTTGTCTAAAACCCTAGAACCTCGTACCATTGATGTATGCTGTGTCTCTGAAACACACATACAGGATCCTAGTGTGATCATTCACTTTACCTCACCTAGCCAGAACGGGGAGCCAACGAGATACGCGCCTCGTTTATCTGGCGACCCGATGGCAGATTCTCGTGGACTAGCAGGTGTAGGCATAGCACTAAGCATGAGGGCGGAACAAGCACTGTTAGAGTGGATCCCCGTTAACAGTCGTTCATGTGTTGTTCGGCTGAACGGCCCCGTAAGAACTCGGAAGGATAGGGACACACGTCGTTGCCTTTTTGTCGTTTCTGCCTACACTCCCACTGACTGTAGCTCGGATGAACTGAAAGATGAATTTTATAGAAAGCTCTCTGAACTTCTTCAGAAAGCTAAACGTTCAGACATAGTACTCGTAGTAGGTGACTTGAATGCCCAGATCGGTAGTTTAAACCAAACAGAAAGGCATTAAGGTGCGTGTTTTAGTACTCCGGCTCAGCGAACAGATAATGGTGATCGTCTTCCTCAACTGTCCTCAGAAAATCGTTTATCTATAGTAATCACTAATTTAAGCAGAGACATCGGAGAGAGCACTATTTTAAGCATAAGAAGATACATCGTCTAACATGGCGACCCCATACACCATATTGCCATCATTCATCGTTGGAGAGGGTCGGTAGAAGATTGTCGCTCATTCTGGAGTACCTGCTTGGACTCCGACCATGCCCTAATACGAGCACGCATCTGCTTGCGCCTCACTGGACACAAGAAAGTCACATTAAAAAGACCTACTAGAACTGAAATGAGTAACGAGAAAACCAAAAGTAGGTTCCAGGAACAAACAAGGTCACGCTTAGATAGTTCTGAAAATGAGGCTGACCCAGATGTAGCTTGGAGAGATATACAAGCAGCTGTGGAAACAGTAGTGACATCTACCAGTAATTTAAACCACAAGGTTACAAAGAACCAATGGATTTTTTCAAGGTCTATTAAACTGATGGGTTCTCGTAAACTCATACCATCAGGTTCTGAACACGATGAAGAGCGTAAACAAATCAGATCTAGGTTAAGCAAAAGTCTAAGGAACGACCGTGAGCAGTAGTGTGCAACGAAAGCGAAAGAGATGGAAAAGGCGGCGGCTATAGGTAACACAACACAGCTCTACAGACCAATAAAAGAAACTGGAATTAATAAGTCAAATGTAAGTCAGAGTATTTCGAAAAAAGACGACACTCTTATCTGTTCTCAGACCAGACGTTTAGAACGATGGGCGGAACATTTTAGAGAACAGTTCAGCTACTCTACCATTCCCAGACAGTGTGAATAAAACATTGAAGTAGGTCCCCCAACTCTGGCTGAAGTTCAAGAGGCTATAGCTATTCTGAAACGAGGAAGGGCAGATGGATTGCCTCCAGAGGTCTTTAAGGATGGTGGTCCAATTCTAGCAATTAGGTTGACTAATATTTTAGCTAAAATATGAGAGTTGGACGTAATCCCACCTGACTGGTCACAATCACTGATTGTCCCAATATATAAGAATGGATCAAAATCATCCTGTGATAACCATAGAGGGATTAGTTTGACTAATATAGCACCTAAAATACTAGCATCAATAATCATCGGACGCTTAACTAAGATTCGTGAACTGCACACACGAGAGAATCAAGCTGGCTTCAGACCTGATCGTGGTTGCATCGACCACATATTCACCATTCGTCAAGTTCTAGAACACAGGCATACTTATCGGCGTCCGACAATGGTGGTCTTTCTTGACTTGAAAGCAGCATTTGACTCTAGAGACCGAGAGGTTCTGTGGTAGTATCTGTCATTGAAATGTGTACCTCAGAAGTGCGATTTTGCAACTTCTCCATTCCTGTTCAATTTCATCGTAGGCCAACCGCTGGGAATAACGTTCTCGTCATCTGAATTTTCAGGAATTGGTCTTCTTCCAGGAGGTCCACTTATCGACTTAGAATATGCAGGTGACATAGTCCTGTTTGGTGAAGACGCTGACAAAATGCAGAGTCTTCTGGTAGCACTGAGCAACAATGCCGGAATTTTTGGGATGCGTTCCCCTCTCTAAATGCAAGTTGTTGCTTTAGAACTGGCCTGCGTCAACACCTGAACTAAGGATAGAGAGTGAAGTAGTCGGAGGTGTCAACAACTTTACTTGGTCAGCCGTAGTGGGTTGGTGTCTGAAGAAATCTCAGCACGGATTTGAAAAGCTCGTCTGGCTTTTGCCAACCTACGTCACCTATGGTGAAGGCGAGATAGCCGTCTATCAATTAATGAACGAGTATACTGAGCGGCAGTTCGTTCTGTTCTACTTTACGGCTGCAAAACGTGGCCATTAAGAGTAGAAGATACTCGTAAGCTTCTAGTATTTGACCACAGATGCCTTAGAAATATTGCCCGCATCTTTTGTGGCCGTCAGATAAGTAATAGTGAGGTTAGACGCAGGGTATTAGGGAATTATGGTAAACCAGTCGATGTGATTGTGAATCTTCATCGACTGAGATGGTTGGGCCACGTGTTGCGTATGCCTGAACACCGATTACCGCGAAGCACAATGCTGGCCTGCTTTGGGGATAGTCCTCATCATTCAGCAACAGAAGTTTCCGACGAATTTTATTATCGAGATTCTCTTTTATCAGAAAATAAGTCAGATGCATGAAATGATGATCAGAAACCTAATACGAATATGATAGATGCTGATTACCGTAGTGATCTATTATTCACAAATGAAAGTGATGACAATATTTCAGAAGATTCAAACGTTGATGACTTCGAAATAAATGGGGTTTATCCTCACTATCTGTTCGATTTTAACGGAATCTATGTTCACTATGTTTTAAATACAGTCAAATTAATTGTAACTTGGGTATATGAGAACGCAGCATTATTTCGCGGGGTAGGATGAACTCGGAAAATTTAAAATCCGGATATCAATTCCGGATCTTCAGAAAAGGAGGTGCTTGGATATTCAGGAAAATATCTCAAGAATTATTTTATTAAGTTTAATGCTATTCTTGGACTTGACATGGTATCATTTTCCTATTGGTCAATATTTATTTCACGTGTCAAATGTTATTTTCTATTTTATGGTACGATGTGGTATGCTTGATTGGTATATAAGCAGAGTGTGTTTGAAATATAACGATTCATATCTCAGGGGCTGAGACTTGCGTTCTGGACTAAACTGGCTGGGCTAGACAGGGAAGCGGGACCAAACAGAACTCTAGGCTGCTCATACGGTTTTACGTGTCATTGATCCGATCGATAGGTCACTGCTCTCTAATCAGCGGTCACAAGTTATAACACTGGAAGAAAGTTAGGGACGACCAAACCGAAACGTGACATCAGTGCTTGAAGTCATCAACTTCCGGTTTGAGCCATGTTGGTAGATGCAGTCTACTTGGTTGGGGTCCGCCTGACTATTGTAATCAATGGTTGGAGACTCTGAGAGACATGGCTCAGAATCGATCACAATGGTGTAGGTGTATACACTTTCTGTCTTCCCTTAAACTAAGAGATTAAAATCACTTCATATCTTTCTTTCTACGAACTAATTCTTTCTCCCTGTATCATATCCTTATATGCAATATTTTTTAATTGAAGTAACTGCTATGAATTCGGTGTTCATCTTGCTGTGCTAATAATGTATGACAACTTGGACCGATGAATATATGTGTCTGGTCCTACGTTGTAGATAACTGACTGACCAATTCTTAAAGTCTAGGTGAACTTAGTTTCAGAAAATCAGTTTTACAGATAAAAGTTTAACTTTCTGACGAAAACTATTTGATCACATAATATGAGTATAAACCAACCACATACTTGCTACAATTCGGCAGTGAAAACATTAGGAAAAACTCATGGAAAACACGCAAATGTGAAAAGTACCAAACACCCTCAAATAGGTATTCAATAAAAATGTATGATACCTAATTTTCTAAAATGGTGTTAGTATTCAGAGCTCTGAAACAATAGTATTGGGATGACATAACTCTTTGAAAAGAGCAGGGAATGAATACTACGTACTGCTGCATTGAGATCAATAACACATGTGAAGAGATAAAAATTTCAGAAGAGATATGTTTTGAGACGGTGGAGATTTGTAGCTCAGATAGATGATTTTAATGGAGTTTTTTCTCAACCAAATCATCTAGCTCAGAGAAAAAAAACTCCATCAAAAGCGAGATATGTTTATTTAACACTTAATTAGGAAGTGAATCACGAATGGGAATTACAGAACAATACGACTAGAGTTCTGATACGTCTCCGGATGGCCAAGCTCAAGTTTAAATATCCATTTACGAAGTTGAAAAGCTTCTGTACGGCTGACCAAGCTAGCAATCGTTGGTTGACGAATTCTTATGTAATTTTAACGGATAATTATAATAGCATTTACCATGAACAAACCGTCCGAGATAGATATGTTTAAGAAGGATCTAAAATGAACACAGGTGTCCAGCGATAACCAAACAATGAAATATTTTATATTAATGAGAAAATGTTAAAACAATTGCCTGAAACTCACCATACAGCTTCAAGTAATTGCAAGATGCATTCGTTCCACTTAATATCAAAAGGCCAGCTAATAGAATCAAAATATGATGAGCCTGAAAATAAAAATAAAAAGTGCCAAAAATCATAAAATCATTCGAATTAGAATGAACATCATAACCAATTACGATGAAAAAATAGTTATCTTACATTCCGATTGCATTAGGCAACAACTTCAACTACGAAATTGCTAAAACTAAAGAATGCCGAAGAGGTATATATATTGTCTAATTTTCTACTTTGACAGTATGGAGACTGACGTTTAAGCATTCAGTACAAAATAGTGTACCTAAATCTCAAACATGAACAAATTAGTTGCTTCTGAATAGCCAGAGCCATCTCTGTAGATTTGTACGAATACTCATCAAGATTATACGGAATAGTTTGACAGGAATTGGGCGCCTAGTATAGAGAAGTCATTATATATGAAAATTATATTTGAAATTATCTCAGCGATTGAAATTTGAATAATTCCAACGTTTTGTCCAGCTAACTTGTCTGGACTTCTTCAGGGTAGTAGTCAAAATCTAATTAATTTTCGTGCACTGTGCATGGGCTGAATCAAAATCTAAGTATCTCTCCGAATGTTGATTTCCTGTAAAAATTTATTTTCAACTTATTATTATTGTCTACGTTCAACAAAACAATCAAATGTTGTAAAAAATCTAATGAACAGAAGTACTAAGCTTGTTACAGACAAGGAAGACCAACGAACTGAATTAAATAAAGTATTTTCTACTCTTAGGGATAACAACTACCCAAAAGAGTTTTTAAAGAAGGTTGTTAAAAATGAAAGAAAAACTAGACTAGAATGTATACGAAAAGTTTGGAAGTACACCGTAGTCATCCCATACTGTAGTGAAACATCGGAAGAAATCAAGCGGATTCTAAACAAACACGACATAAGAGTGTATGTTAGGGCGAGCAGCACCTTAAGATCGACATCAGTGAAAGCTAAGAACAGGTTGACAAAGGAAGAACAACAGAATATCGTGTTTGAGATCAACTGTCATGATTGTAATGCAGCCTATGTTAGAGAAACATCCAGGCAATTGAATGTAAGGTTGAAGGAAAACAATGTTTGAAAAATGTTCCCGAATCCTCGGTTGATTTGAAGAAACTTAAGAATGAGTCTGCGATAGCGCTACATGCGTTAGAAACAGGACACAAGAATAATTTTGAAGGGACCAAAATGCTTCAGAAAAGTTTTAACACACATAAAGAAACCTTGATAGCAGAAGCTCTGTATATATGTGTGAACAACAACAGCGTGAACCGAAAGGATGATAGTCAACTAGCGACTACCTGGCACAATTTCGTTGACAGGTAATTTGAACCCTCTCTTTATTCATTCTGTTCATTTCACATGCATCGTTATTTTTGACTGAATTCAATGAGGTTTTAGCAATACAATTATGTATTTGTTTGATTCTTAAATTTGATATGCACGTCGATGATTCAGAAACCATTTTTCAACCTTGAACGTGCACTTTTATTTATTTATTACTTCATATATAACATATTAACACCGAATATCAATAATTAATCTCACAAATACATACATACATACACACTCACAGACATACAATTCATTATTCAGTTAATTGTTTCCATGTTGTTGAATTTTTCACATGATTTGCAGTTAACTGACTCACTTTATCCTATTTTACAAAAAATCAACATCCAAATTTGATTGGTTTAACACAGTATGGTTTTGATTGTTAAAAGCTAAATATTTCTTTGATGATTTAGATTTTGATTACTACCCTGAAGAAGTTAGCTGGACGAAACGTTGGAATTATTCAAATTTCAATCGCTGAGATTATTTCAAATATAATTTTCCCATATAATGACATCTCTGTAGATGCTTCCGAATGAGACAAGCGACCTTGACGTACGAGCTGCACAACTAGCTCAATAGACGCAGATGAATTGATATAAAGTGACTGAAGTTGTGGGGACTCATCTTCCATGTGAAGGCAGTTATTTCATATTTTCCTATTTAGATCTCAAAGTCTCCGTTTCCCAGGAAGGTCAGTTTATTGTACGATGCTCTGAATTTTACAAAAAATCTTATGATTACTGTAAACATTGTTCGTACCCGAAATTCTTGGTTATCTTTTAAATAATATTTATTTGATCTCAAACCATTAGTTCATGATATTCACATTTACTCTGTTTACTGTAATGCACTAATTGTTCCATCGATCTCCTTTTCGTAGCTACTTATTTAAACAAATGTGATCATATTTCAAGTTACAATACAATATAATATTCTGATAGACGTACAGTATCATTATATTTCCGGAATCTCTACCACCTCTTTTCGAACTAAATTCGATATCACTACTATTAAAGCCGATGGACATTTTTTCCAGGCCCAGCATCACTTATAAATAATTGAATGAAAAATTTGTTTATACACTTATAAATTCCGACACACATAAATGTTCATACGGCTTTCAAAATGATGATTTCATAGCAAAATATTATAAATAAGGTGAGGTGGAATAATGGTCTCTTACACCGGTAATTTCGCGCTATGTTTCACTCCGAAACCACATGATATAACGAATGATTTTTAATGAATTAAGCAAATTCAGCACTCAGGATCAGATTTCTTTAACCGATACAGCTCGATCATTTGTTCACTTAAAAGTATAAACAGCATCTACATAACGGAAGGTAGCCTTCTATGTAATTCTGAATTAAAGAATATCTTAGTTTGATCAATTGTGCGATATATATCAACGAGGCCAACTATTAAAAATTACACCTGCATAACTCAAATATAAATTCAAACAATCAAATACGCTTTTGATCCAAGAACCAAAGCTGTAATTCAATAACTCTCCACAAAACCAAGGAAACTGACCTAAACACTGTATGATTAAAAAAATACGACCTGAAGGTAGTGAAACATGAGTGGAAATACTTGGAAGCAGAAGATCGACAAGAAACTGAATTGAGATAGATGTGAGGTCGCTAATATGACTCGAAGTAGACAATCGATTGCATGCTACTGGACGGTGTGTTAAAGCGAATTCTGATTCCGTAGAAAGAAGCTCGTTAGACCTGAGTATGAAATAAAAACCCCGGTGAAGGAGTTGAAAATAAACCAACATGAAATGTAGTTTAGTGATTGATATTTTTAATAGTAACATAATTTCCAAACTTCAAGAATAATAGCAGTGATAAAACTCCCTTCTACCACAACCAGTCTCTGCACAATAAAAAAGGTTTACAACATGAATAATACCCACACATCGGTCGTTAATCAAGTGGATATGTATTTGATGGGAATACTTGAAAAATTGTAGTTTACTAACGAATGAGTGATTATCTATCTTTAAATAAGATTTTTGGAACAAAAATCCTCGTGTATCGATTTCACGTGAATAAACAATTTTAACAGACTTTATGTTTCGATTAATCCAGTTCCTATAGAATGTCACAAGGTTGAAAATACGGAAGAAAATTAACAGTAGCTTATGCGACACATACCCAAGTCGGTCCAGATCCATTTATTCTTTATCTTCATCCGAGTAATCAGTTTTGTTTTATTCGCTTATTTAACTCTCTTACAAACCATGTTCACTACGATTATTATTCTTAACCGTGATTGATGCTAGCATCAATTCGGCTATTCATCTAGTAAAAAATTGATTACTGTCAAGTGTAATATGGAGAATTGGACCAGTGCAAAACTGTAATAGGTCCTGAATTGCATAACACTGACTGACTTTTCTAAAACACAAACATTGAGCCAGAATGAACGAATCATTCGTCCTATGATTAGAAGATACAACGATGAAGCATGTGTACTCAATAAATTAATAATGATACTTAGACGCGACAAGTGAGTTTATGTGCTGGCAACAGTGGTTTTAAGCAATTCAGGTCCATCATAAAAGTAAAGGACAAAACGTCACAACTCACAGAGACAGACTACGGCGTAAGGAAATAATGACACCATTGATTTTCTCAACAACTGGTAACAAACAAAGCAAATAACTATTTAATTCCGAATGCAAGCATCCATATTCTCCAAACATAACTAGTAGATACTGCAAACATTGAAGAAGAATACAACCGCGATTCGGGTCCCAATTATGTAGTGATTTTTGGGCGACATTATTCGATTCCGATAACGAGGAAGATATCTCAACAATGTTCTCAACCTACGACGTTAACATGAAATATAATGTGAAATTTAATTTAAGTGGAAAGCGAATATTGACGCAATAATTGTGTTGCTCATTATTCTAAATCATTTTGTGACAGTTTAAAATCGATATTTTGCATCATTGGCAGAATTCCCAATTAGAATTTGTTGACGTTACATGCTTGTTAATAACATAATTCTGGTCATTTATAATGAGGGAAGACTCTAGAAAAGAAATAACGGTAATGTATTTCTTATAAATACTACTTCACTTAATTAGAACTTCGTTCTTCAAAAGAGTAATGTGATTTCTTTACCAGTTAACAAAGTAATCCAAATTACTAAAGTAATAAACTTTACAAACAAATTTATTATTTTTTAAAAAACTTCGAACTTTCTGACGATGTCTAACCAATTATCCAGTTGGTGATAGTTTTGTCAGCATCTGCAAAACATTAACTGAGATAAAATTATACCTATGGAAATGGAAAACAATATTATGGTTAAATAGTAACATTACAGCATTAAAGTTCCATTCTCTAACACATATTCTACTTGAAAGCAAAAAAACATACACCTGTACAAATATCGAAAACACCTATTATCGACCGATTGCCGGAGATAAGCAATGTTGAGCCCGATCGGTACTTGCATGGGTGACAGGTTGCGAATATCGGGTGAAATCCGTTTGTAGCTCTTGTGCGGTTGATGTCACTCCCAAACCCGAGTAAAGGAGAAGGGTCGTGCATAGGGTTATCAACTCCATCTCGTAGAAAACGACATTGCCAAACAACACTCAAACCAGAAGAAACTTCAGACTATCATGGGAGTTGAAGAATCCCCATTTAGAAGAATTACGACCCCTCAAAGTGAAAGTCAAGATTATTTGGAATTCACGGGGCCGATGCTCCTTCTGACAACCTATTGTGGACCGCGGGTGGCTACTCTAATTTCTACCGACTGACCAACTTCAGATATTCCAGTACGACCCCAATACTGTTCCCAAACTCCAATATATCAGAACACGAACCGTAGATGAAAAGCGTTTATAGGGTCAGGAGAAGAATAAGAATTTACAGACAAATGCATATTTAAACAGTTAGGACTACTATAAATATTGTCCAACAGGAAAATGACATGTGAAATAAACATTGACCAGTAGGGAAATGACACATGAAATAAATATTGACCAGCAGGGAAAAGACATGTGAAATAAATATTGACCAATAGGAAAATGACACAATTTCACGTTTAAGGATAGTATTAGACTTAACAGGATAATAGCGACGTAACCGAGGGTTTACGTGAAAATTCTTTGGGTGTCTTCGTTTGCGGCCCGACCTCTGAGGCAACCACCCAGAACCAGAAGGATGTTCTACTTGAGTAGATGAATTAGTTGTCTCTGTCGGAAGTTGAAAAGTGTCCAACAGCAAGTCGAGTGGGATGCGTTTTGTAATTGCTTCTTTCTCCTTAGTTTTCCTTGGCCTTAGTTGATTGTGGTGCCTGGTCCAGATTTCTTGGTTCACTTTGACATCATACATGACATCCCCATGTTCCTTTGTGATTTCACCATCTACCCATCTATCACATCCATGTCTATAATCCCGCGCATACACTTTTGAACCAACTTCGTAGGGAATTCGAGTATTCTTCATCTGGGGTCTTTTCTGGGCCACTTGCTTGGGTGTCATCGCACCATGGACTGTCCGTAGATTTCGCCCCATAAGCATCTCAGCAGGGGATTTGAAGTTTGGCAATAAGTCATGCGGGGTCGTCCGGTACACAACTAGGAATCGTTCTATGATATCTTCTGTGGTTCTCTCCCCTCTTGCTTTAAGCATGGCTCGTTTAAATGTATCAACGAACCATTCAGCCTGTCCATTAGATTGCGGGTGATATGGCGGAGAATGGACATGGTTGATCGAGTTTTGCAGGCGAAATTCTCGAAAATGGATAGATGTGAACTGTGAACCATTGTCTGTTACTATTGTTTCTGGAAGACCATGCTGAGCGAAAATCTGATTAAGGAGTTTGATGGTTCGAGTTGTAGAGTGTGGCACAATTGGCAATATCTCCGGCCATTTGGAGTAGGAGTTAACCAATAACAAATATGTGGTACCATCTAGGGGTCCGGTGAAGTCAATATGCACTCGCGACCAGGGTTTTTCTGACTTCGGCCAGGGCACTGGAGGCAACTTAGGAGGATTTTTCGCAGCTTTTTGGCAATGTGAACATCTTTTGACGAAGTCGACAATCTGCTTGTCCATGTTCGGCCAATATGCATAGCTCCGAGCGATGGATTTCATACGGTTTATCCCTGGGTGTCCAGAGTGAAATTGGCGTAGGACCTTAGAACGTAAGGTTGTTGGAATTACTACGCAAACACCGAACATCAGACAAGCGTAAACAACACAGAGGGCGCTGAGACGATTCGCTAGTTGTTGTATATCACCACTCAGTTGCTTAACTGGCCATCTGCTCTGAACATAGGTGATCGCTTCTTGTATAATTAGGTCTTTTCTAGTAGCTTTCCGAACATCTTCAGCGGTAACAGGCATTGCTCGAACGGCATTCGCTAATAGTGTAGCACCGGAATCCTATTCCGTTGATATTATGGCTATGAGTGTGTCCTCATCAGTGGTAGAATGGTTACTGATAAGTCTGGACAGTGCGTCTGATTGACCAAAATCTTCGGAACGTTGATACTAGATGTCGAAGTCGCACCCCAATAACGCCAACGGCCAACGTTGAAGACAATTAGCAGAATGGGCAGGAATGTCTTTCTTTGATCCAAATATTGATAACCACGACTTGTGGTCTGTGAGCAAGGTGAAACGGCGCCCGTAAATGAATTTGTGGAATCGCCGGACAGCAAAAATCAGGGCTAACGCTTCCTACTCGATCTGGCCGTAGAGTTTCCCAGCAGGTGCTAGTGTTCTCGAAGCGTGCATCACCGCTTTCTCTGAACCGTCAGGGAAGACATGCGACAGTACGGCACCCAGCCCATGTTTTGAAGCGTCAGCAGCAACCACAATAGGTAGTTTCGGATTGTATTGGGTTAGCAATAGATTGGAACTTACAATGGCTTTAGGTTTTGAAAAGGCTGACTCAGATTGCATTGACCAATCCCAAGCAGCATTCTTTTCTAGCAGACGATTTGATGGATATCGTACGTCATGCAGTGATGGAAGAAATGCTGAATAGTAGCTAATCATTCCCAGAAATGATCGCAGTGAGGAGACATCAGTGGGGGCAGGCATTTCTTGGATTGCCTAAGTATTTTGAGGATCAGGGTGTCGTCCGGAAGCATCAAAGATAAACGCCAGGTATTTAAAGGAACGTAAGAAGAACTGGCATTTTCCTGGGCGAAGGAGAAAACCATTATCCTGGAAGCGTTGTAGAACTAAGTGGATTCTGGTATGCAGTTCATCAGCAGTTGAGCCGACAATGTGGACATCGTCAAGGTATGCAGCAACACCAGGAACATCTGCCAGAATAGTATCCATGATCTGCTGGAAGATTGCTGGAGCACTTTTGAGACCAAAGGGTAACCATGGATACTGAAAAAGACCTCGGTGACAGTTGATTGTCAACCACTCTCTTGATTCGAGAGCGACGGGAATTTGAAGGTAAGCATCCGCCAGATCCAGCTTAGCAAAGTAGGTACCACCATTTAAAATAGTAAATAAGTCATCTGGGATCGGCAGCGGATAGTGATGCTGTTGTAGAGCCGCGTTGAGTCCTGTGGAAAAGTCTGCACAGATGCGTAAGGAACAATTGGATTTTTTACAACCACAATTAGTGCAGCCCATGATGAATAAGAAACAGGTACTAGAACACCCTCAGTTTCCAAACGCTGAAGTTCAGCGTCAACCAGAGGTATAGATGCGTATGGGACTGTACGTTTGAAGAGAAAAACTGGCGTAGCTTCTGGCTGCAGTCTTAAAACAGCTTCCGTTGTGGAACAAAGTCCGAGACCAGGCTGAAAGAGTTCAATAAATCGTTTTTGAAGGTCTGCGGCATGCTGTTGTGTAGAGACAGTAGTTTGTACTTGACTACAGATAGCGCTAATGGGAAGATCAGCGAGACCAAGTTCTTCGAACCAATCTAAACCTAGAAGGTTGAGCGGAGAACTGATGACGTAGCACGTCCCATTGAAGGTTGTAACTCTGAATGAAATGCAGCAATACAGTTCACCATGAAGGTGGAGATGACCCCCAAAGGCACTGACAGCTGTCTGAGAGGATAGTTTGGTGGGAGGTTAGCCCAAGGTTCGCCAAGTCTTTTTCGATAGAATAGTGATATCTGATGCAGCCGAACTGGCTGACCATTGATTGAGAGGGTCAGGAATTTGCGTCGAGTCGCGGCATGAGTGTGGAAGACTGCTGCTAAACTCCTTGATAAGGTAATTGGCTTTGTGGGAAAACGACGCTGGATCTATGCATTTCGATGGTTATTGGATCGGTTGGATTTGCAATAGCCGCTTTTGTGACCGACTTCCTGACAGCGATCGCACATATGCTGTTTGAATGGGCAAAACTTCACATAATGCCAGGCTCCACAGTGCCAACATGGCGAGGGGGGCTTCTTCTGAGTCGGTTTAGGGTGATTAGAGACAGAAACAGCACTGGCGTTCGAAGGACTCGAGGTTGTCGATTTCAAAGACTTTTTTGGTGCTGAAAAGCATGAACTTCGGAACCACCCTGTCCCCCAGATTGAACCAAAGTGGTGTCACGCTGAAGATTGGTGACGCGTTGGTACTCGTCTATGATCGCATTGAGTGTCAGTGTTGGGTCTTGTTCAAGGCGGTTAAGCAACCGAGTTCTGATGTCGGAGAATTTGGTGATTGAAGACTACATGTGAGTACTAGGGACTTGAATTGGTCTTGAGTGAGGGATCTGAGCTTGAATCGTTCGCACTCACGGTTAACAACGTCGACGTGGATCAAGAAGTCATCGGACTCATTCATGACCAGTTTTAAGCAGCGATATCGAGTACTGAAAAGTGAATAATAATCACCAAAAAGTTGGCTAAGAGACTGAATAGTGGCGTCGAAGGAACGGTCGCGTGGGTTCTGCGGTATAATGAAGTTGGAATACCTGTCCAGCTCGGAGGGACCAGGTTTTCGAAGGAGAAGACGCACCTTCCACGAATCATCTGTCAGGAAAGTCAACTTTGAAAAGGTCTTCATAACGCCTGAACCAAGTATCAAATGTAATATTGGAGTCAGGATCACAAAAGAAATTCTGAAATACTACTGGTAATACCATCAACTGATTGAGGGATTGTCAGTGTAATTGAGACTCGAGAAGATATGTGCGCCTGAGTAATCATCTCCATCAGCTTCAGCTGTTGTTCAAACAATTTTTCTAATTTGGCTGGATCCATAGTTAGTCAACAACTGGAAAGGGATCAAGAAAGCGCTCACTTCAACGTGTTAGGCGGTGCTAGGCCTCGAGAAACTTCATCATAAGGAATGAATCTCTATCGACATCAAGGCCATGATACAAAAAGGGAAGAACAAGGGCACACAATTGAAAACTTTTGAACTGGCGTAGAGGAAGCCAAGGGCAGACCGAATGCACAGCAAACAAGCGGGTAAAGATGAACATTAGAGCCGACAAGCAGACATACGTAGAAGATCTGGCAACGACAAAGTTCAAAGCTGAAAGTCAGTCAGTCAGTCAGTAACAACGTAGAACTTCGTACCTACGTACATCAGTTCGAGTTGCCACACCACCTTAACACAGAGATGCAGTTGTCGATTCAAATCCCGTAGTGGTAGAGGTAGTAAGAGTATAAGCAGTAATCAGGAAGATTAGGGTTTGGAGATGTTATTTAAAGAGTATAATCCAGTGAAATAAATTTAAGAAGAGAAAAAAGAGACGAGGAGGAATCAGGAGATTAGAATTTGGGAGAACACAAAGAGTGGATGCACCTGCGCCATTGCAAACGATTTTGGGCCATGTCATTCTGGGTCTCTAACCATCGGTTGCTATCATCTCGCGGTCCCCAACTAAGTAGTCTACACCTACCAACATGGCTCAGTCCACTTGTCAGTGACTTCAAGGACTTGTGCCATGTTTTGGTCTGGCCGCTCCTAGCTTTCTTCCAACCTACTCCTATACCACTGAACATAGCACGTCGAGGCAGTCGGTCGCTGGGCATACGTAACACGTGTCCCAGCCATTTCAACTGATGAAGTTTCACTACTTCATCAATTGATTTGCCATCCTTACCTAGTACCCGTTTACTAACAACTGTGTTACTTACTCGATGGTCCCATGATATACGAGCAATGTTTCGAAGACACCTATGATTAAATACTAGTAGCCTACGGATATCCTCTAGTCTTACCGGGCATGTTTCACTGCCATAAAGTAGGAAGGAACGAACTGCTACGCAGTAAACACGTCCTTTGGTTGATAGACGGATATCTCGCCTACGCCATAAATGACGCAAGTTGGCAAAAGCTAGTCGAGCCTTCTGTATCCGTGCTGAGATTTCGTCACACACCAGACCACAAGGACTGATGAGACTTCCAAGATAAGTGAAGCGGTCGACACACTCAACTACTTCACTCCCTATCACTAGTTCGGGTGTCGATGTAACCCAATCCTGAAGCAACATTTTGCATTTCGAGGGAGAGAATCGCATGCCAAACATGCTTGCATTGTTTGCTTAGAGTGGTCAGAAGACTGCATTTTGTCAGCGTCTTCACCAAATAAAACTATGTCATCAGCATATTCTAAGTCAACAAGTGAACCTCCCGGTACAAGTTCAACCCCTGGAAATTTAGATGAGGAGAGTGTTATCTCTAAAAGTACGTCGATCACAAAGTTGAACAAGAATGGGGAGAGTGGACAGCCCTGACGAACACCACTTGAGGTGATCAATTCTGATGACAGTTCGCCATAAGCTCTCACTCGACCAGTTGTGTTCGAGTAGAGAGCCTTTATAAGGTTAATGTACTTCTTTGGTACTCCTTTCAGTGACAAACACTGTCATAGAACCTCACGATCAACAGAGTCGAATGCTGCGTTAAGGTCGAGAAATACTACCATTGTGGGGCGTCTATAAAGCTGAAAGAGAAGGGAATGAGACAACTATGTGACACAACGAAGAAACTAGTCGGGGAAAATTAAAAACCAGAGCAACCACTCAGGAGCAAACAAGGAAAGTCAATCACTGAGATACAACGACAGCAGGACAAGTGGGCAGAACACTTTGAAGAATCCTTGAATGGATCAGCCCTACTGAACTAACCGTATATTGGAACAGCACACACAGACCGTCCTATAGATGTCGCCCCACGGACAATCGAATACATCAGTATGACCGTTAGACAAATCAAGAGTGGGAAAGCAGCAGGACCAGACAATATAATAGCTGAAGCACTTAAGTCAAATATACAAGTAACTGAAAAGGTACCACAGATTCTATTCGGAAGATTTAGAAGAAAATTTAAGGGTGTTTTGGGAGAGATGAAAAGTTTTACGTACCTATGGAGCATCATCGATAAACAAGAAGGATCTGATGCAAACGTAAAGAAGAGAATCGGCAAAGCATAAGCAGCGTTCCTACAGTTCAAGAACATATGAAACTCAAAAAAACTGTCAGCAAACACCAAAGTCAGAATTTTCTATACGAACATCAAGACACTCCTACAGTACGGAGCTGCAACTTGAAGGACTACCACAACCATCATCAAAAAAGTACAAGTATTTCTATACAATTTTCTGCTAAAGACACTAAATGTCTGTTGGCCGGACACCGTCAGCAACAGGCTATTGTGGGAGAGGACACACCAGCTTCCAGTTGAAGAGGAAATTAGGAAATAATGTTGGAAGTGAGTAGGGCATACATTGTGGAAATCACTAAACTGCATCACGAGGAAAGCGCTAACTTGGAATTGTGATGGGAAACGGAGAAGAGGAAGGTCAAAGAATACACTGAGCTGATAATTAACAGTAGACATGAAAAGGGTGAATAGCAGCTGGAAAGGATTGCTCAGGACAGGTTTGGATGGAGAGAGCTGGTAGGCAGCCTATGCTCCTCCTCGATGAATATATATATATATATATATATATATATATATATATATATTACCATATTAACGGAAATATTTCTAACTTACCAGGGACAATAAACTTATTTTATTACAATCCATGTTGCCTATGCTCACTGATAATGTATCCAAAGCTTCTTCAATTAAATTAGCCCATATGAAAAAGTAGTAAGAAATACTTGGCTTAGTCAGTGACAACAGTGGGATTTTCAAGCTGTTTGGAAAATAAGACGAGAAGAGTACGAAAAAGTGAAAAATGTCGGGAAGTTACTGAAAAGTGGTTTTCATTTACTAGCTATCGTACTAGTTGTAATTTTCAAGAATGAAAAATGCTGTAATTTTTAAAATATACGGTGTAATAAAGGGCAAACTTATTGACCTATAGCGCGCGAAAGTTCCTACAATTTACAATAAAGTGAACCATTTCAAAAATCGAGCTTTAGGAAAATGAAGCCGTGGGTAATCAACCCTTACAGTAAATGTCATAACCAGACATTAGAGGGTAAATATACTCATTGAATTTTCGAAGATATCTAATTGGATGATTAGTATCTTTGATAAAAGAAATATTTAGTCGTTATCATCACTGACAACTTTAAAAATATAACGACCAAACATCCGAAAACCAAAGTCGAATACAAGTACTTCGATTAAATTATTTGGCAGTATTTCTTTTCTTTTCCAAAAATATTTAACTATTATGAACATAAATACGGTAAATCAGTCAGTCAGCCAGTAACAACGTAGAACTTCGTACGTACGTACATCAGTTCGAGTTGCCACACCACCTTAACACAGAGATGCAGTTGTCGATTCAAATCCCGTAGTGGTAGAGGTAGTAAGAGTATAAGCAGTAATCAGGAAGATTAGGGTTTGGAGATGTTATTTAAAGAGTATAATCCAGTGAAATAAATTTAAGAAGAGAAAAAAGAGACGAGGAGGAATCAGGAGATTAGAATTTGGGAGAACACAAAGAGTGGATGCACCTGCGCCATTGCAAACGATTTTGGGCCATGTCATTCTGGGTCTCTAACCATCGGTTGCTATCATCTCGCGGTCCCCAACCAAGTAGTCTACACCTACCAACATGGCTCAGTCCACTTGTCAGTGACTTCAAGGACTTGTGCCATGCTTTGGTCTGGCCGCTCCTAGCTTTCTTCCAACCTACTCCTATACCACTGAACATCGCATGTCGAGGCAGTCGGTCGTTGGGCATACGTAACACATGTCCCAGCCATCTCAGTCGATGAAGATTCACAACCTCATCAACTGATTTACCATCATTCCCTAATACCCTGCGTCTAACCTCACAATTCTTACCCGGTGATCCCAGCAGACGCCAACAATATTTCTAAGGCATCTGTGGTCAAATACTAGTAGCTTGCGAGTGTCTTCTACTCTTGATGGCCATGTTTCGCTGCCGTAAATTAAAACAGAACGAACTGCCGAACTCCCAGCAGTAGGCTTACGATGAAATCGAACAGAAATGGAGATGGTGAACAGCTTGCCAGACACCACTTGAAGTTGCAAAATCGCATGACAGTTCTCCATAAGCTCTCACTCGACCAGTTGTGTTCGAGTAGAGAACCTTTATAAGGTTAATGTACTTCTTTGGTACTCCTTTCAGTGACAAACACTGCCATAGAACCTCACGATCAACAGAGTCGGATGCTGCCTTGAGGTCGAGAAATACTACCATTGTGGGGCTTCTGAATGTGTGTCTGTGTTCTAGAACCTGGCGTAGTGTGAATATCTGGCCTATACAACCACGTCCAGGTCGAAAACCAGCCTGGTTTTCTCTAGTCTGCTCTTCACGAGCTTTAGTTAGGCGTCGAAGTATTATTGAAGCTAATATTTTAGACACTATATTAGTCAAACTGATTCCTCTGTGATTGTCACAAAAGAACTTTTGTCCGTTCTTATAGACTGGTACAATCAGTGATTGAGACCAGTCAGATGGGATTGCATCCAGTTCCCAAATTCTACCTAAAACCTCAGTTAATCTCACTGCTAATACTGGACCACCATCCTTAAAAATCTCAGGAGTAAACCTGTCAGGGCCTGCTGCTCTCCCTTGCTTCAGATTTGCGATAGCTTTTTCTACTTCATAAAGAGTCGGAGGACCTTCATTAACTTGCCATTCAGGTTGACTGGAGATCGTGGGAAACCGAAGTGTGGCTGAAGGCCAGTTGAACTGATCCCTAGTGTTCTGTCCATCGATCCAGTCTCCTGGATTGAGAATGTATAATATGTCTAGCTTTTTCTGAGATTGTTTCGCTAACATACGGGTTCCTAATACCGATTTCCTTAACAAGTCTGAACAGTTGTCTGATGTTACCTATTGCCACTGCCTTTTCTTTCTCTCTCGTTTTCTTTACCCACCACTGTTCGCGATCATTGCGTAGACTTCTTGTCAGCTTGCGTCTAATCTGACTCCGCTCTTCGTTATGTTCAGAGCCAGATGAAATAAGTTTTCGGGCATCTATCAGTGCAGTAGATGCTGCTGAGATCCAGTGTTACTCCCTAACCTTACGGTTTATCGTACTAGCAGATATCACTGCTGTTTCTACATCTTTTCGGATATCATCCCACTCTGCCTCGGAGTAGGCATCACATACAAGGCTGCCTAACTGTTTTCCTAGTTGTTCCTGATACATACTCTTAGCTCGACTATCATTAAGTATGGCCCTAAAAGGTTTCCTTGCAGCGTCTTTCTTACGTCCAGTAAGACGCAGTCAAATACGCGCTTGCACTAGAGCATGAACTGAATCTAAGCATGTGCTCCAGAATGAGCGACAGTCTTCTGTCGAGCCCCTCCGTCGGTGACTGATAGCGATGTGATCTATTTGGGTCCAACGTTGGGAAGAATTAGGGGTCGCCATGTCAAAAGATGTTTTTCCTTATGCTTAAAGTTAGTATTTGCAAGAAAGAGGCGGTTATCTGAGCATAGCTGCAACAGACGGTCGCCATTATGTGTTCTTTGAGCCACGACACCATAAGATCCACCTAGGTGTCTTTCCCTTTCGCTCAGTTTACCTACTTGAGCATTAAAGTCACCAGCCACCATTACTACATGGGAGCGCCTAGCTTTTCGGAGAAGGTCGGAGAGCTTTCTGTAAAACTCATCTTCTACATCATCTGCGCTGCAGTCAGTGGGAGAATAGACAGAGACGACAAAGAGGCAACGACGAGTGTTCCTATTTTTCCGAGTCCTTATTGTTCCGTTTAGTCGGACAGCGCACAAACGACTGTCTTCTGGGATCCAGTCTAAGAGATCTAGTTCTGCCCTAGGACTCAATGCTATACCTACGCCGGCGAGTCCACGAGAAGCCGCATCTGGGCTTTCAGATACACGAAGTGTGAATCGAGTTGGTTCTTTGTTTAGACATGGTGATTTCAAATGAATGACGCTACTCGGATCCTGTATGCGCATTTCGGAGACGCAGCACATATCGACGGCGCGAGATCCGAAAGTCCTAGCTAAGGAAGCCTGTTGTCCTATTTGGCACAGTGTTCGGACGTTAAAAGCTCCTACATGTAGTTTAGAGCGTGGTTTCAGGAGACGATGAATAACGTTCCGCGTACTCGAGTCGTTTGCCCTAGCGGTGCGGGGTGAAAAAAGGACGTGAGAAGAGTTACTCGGGGAGATAAGAGTGGTGTTAGAAGGTGTAGGAAGGATTTGAATGTGACCAACTTGGTGTTGTGTGCTGTTACGGGCGATACGGTAAATCACTAAATATTTGTATTCAACTAAAGTGTACATTGTACATTTGGCTGAATGACAAATAACAATTGATTTTACAACACTAAAGCAGGATTTTCAAAGCGAGCATATTCGTAATATTACTATTATTGACCAGTTTATTCATCACCATTTGTTCGGTACAACAGGAAGTATTCAGCCAAATAATTCAAGATGTCCCCTCTTTTTTTACTTAAATTGCAGATATCTACATATTAAAATATTACATTTTTTTCAAGAATTTACAAGCATGATCAATAGGTGTGCAACTTAAATGATGACTTCGGGATAGTTTTGACCTTGTAACTTTTATATCACATCATATATCCGCTAAATAAGGCCACTTTAAAGGTATTAGCACTATTTTTATTTTTTATACAAGTAGTAAGTTTACAATACTAAGGGAAATAACGACAGGTCATGGTTTGTTGGGGTCATTAATCCGATAATCACTCCTTATATAGATTACATTTGTATTGAACATTAAACATGAAAATTCACTACTTACGTTGTACACAGCTCCTCAGTGTCTGATGACGATAATCTCCGGAGAAGTGAACAAAACATAACGAAATTTCTAAGTGAAAATATAGGAAAACATACACTGAAGTTTAAACCTTAAGAGAAAATTGAATTGATATATCTCACTTAAGTTCGTAAACGTAAAGATGATAAAATCAACAAGAATTAATCGCATTTTGAAAATTTCATACACATAGTTCCCTTTATTATCTTAAAGAGAGCAAGAACAAAGATTGGTGCAGAATAATATGAATTCATTTTATTTCGTTAGGTTCTCATCAGCTGCTTACAACCTAAATTATTTGAAATTTAACATTATTATACATATTGACATATTTATACAACAGAGAGCGATGAAGGATGAATATATGTAAAATAATGTAGCAAACATTTCGTTAGAGTTAATGAGGTCATAAAATTTTTGTTTCGAATATATAGAGTTTGGGAGGGAAAGTTCCAGAAAATTGAGATAATGGTTAGAAATAATGGAATTAAAACACATTAGACGATTATGTAATGAAGTAATTGAAAATAGATTAATGTTAATAAAGAGATATATGAATTGAAATTGGTCAGTTATGAATGATGTAATTATAAAATTCAGAAAGAGTTGGAATGACGTAATAAAAATAAATAAAAGGGGGTGGGGTGAATGTTATCAGGGCAAAGAAAGATTTATTACTGATTCTTTTTGTATACAAAGTTCTGGTTTTAAACGTTTGATTGCTATTGCTTCAGCAAATTTCAAAAGGTTGGAGTTTGATTGTTTGTTAATCACCTTGAAGGACTTCAGTATATCAACTTCATGTCCTGTATCAAGGAGATGTCTTGCGATGGCACTGTTGAATGCGTTCAATTCATTTAATCTTAAACTTTTCGGAATATGTTCTTTGAATGTTAAAAAATGTTTAAAGAATAACGCATAACCACCGAAATTTATTGAGAAATATGGCAAACGTGAAGATAAAAAACCCAAAGAAATTACAGCAAATAAAAAGCCTATTTTTATTCAACTTCAGTTCAAAGGTGACGATGTCACAGGATCAATCAATATGAGACCAAAAACTGCACTGACAAGAACTTACCCTACAGCGAAATTGATTGTCCTGTCCCAAACAAAAAGTTCTTTGACACAATCAAATGTCGACAGGTATCCCTTTCATGTTACCACCAACTGTGTATACAAATTTACATGTATCTGCCAAAGCAGTTACATTGGTAGAACAGAAAGGAAAGCCTACGTCCGATTCGAAGAACATATTCCGAAGAGTTTAAGATTAAATGAATTGAACGCATTCAACAGTGCCATCGCAAGACATCTCCTTGATACAGGACATGAAGTTGATATACTGAAGTCCTTCAAGGTGATTAACAAACAATCAAACTCCAACCTTTTGAAATTTGCTGAAGCAATAGCAATCAAACGTCTAAAACCAGATCTATGTATACAAAAAGAGACAGTAATAAATCTTTCTTTACCCTGGTAACAATAACCCCTTTTATTCATTTATTTCTCTAGTTATTTATTGCGTCACTACTCCAACTCTTTTAAATTACATCATACATAAATGATTGATTTCAATTCATATTTTCTTTATTACCATTAATCTATTTTCATGAGTTCTAATCACTATTTCAATGTTCTGGAACTTTCCCTCTCTAACTTGATTTATTTATTCGAATCAAACATTTTATGAGCTCATTAACTCTATCTGAATCTTCGCTACATCATGTACACATGTATTGATCCTTAATCACACTCGTATGTATAAATATGTCAATATCTGTAATAATGTTGAATTTCAAATATTTTAGGTTGTAAGCAGCTGATGAGAACCTAACGAATTCTTGTTCTCTTTAAGAATTAATCGCCTGAAAATTCTCAATCTGGACCAAAAAATATACTTCAGCATAACCCCACTAAAGACTTGTGATGAAAATGATAGACTCTAATCAATAGTTTTACCTAGTTGTTAGGCTTTCACTGTATCCTCATAATATTCTAATAGATCTAGTGGAAATAATCTGGAAAGGATTTCAAAATCTAGAAATGAAGTGCAGTATCAAAATTCCATTTTAGGTATTAAAACAACATTCACAGCTATAATCAAAAATTAACTTACTGTCTGGCCTCACCCGCTGGTTTTACCTTGTTGTACCAACATCTGAAACTTCATGTTAAGAAGAAATAAAAAGCAACAACTAAACACTAAGTTATATCACAAATATATACAAAGTGTCAACATAATATGCTGTTATTTATTTTTTTAAATAAATTAGATTAGTTAATCTATCATATTTGAATCAGTGGGTATCGGAATGTGTAAACACATATTTCATTGGTAAAATGTTTTCAAAAGAAGTCGCTAGCCCTGTTTAACTTATCATTGATGAGTAATATATCTAGGCTTTTTATTAAGCAAAATGTTCCATGAAAGATCACAGCACACTTGCTTAGTATCCAATTGAAACGTAAGCGAAACTTTCATGGAATAGAAGATCCTACAGTTAAGTGGTTAGCCGAAATTCTACAGCCAGTCGGAATTCATTTCAATAAGTACAATACAGTATATTCATTTGTTATTTATTAGTTTAGTCGATCTCAATGTAACCGGAAATTGAGTGATACTTTAAGATGCTCCTTCAATCTTTACAAATGTGTTTCATACTAAAGTAGTTTGGTTCTAATGTGATTAAATTGAAAACAAAGGACTCCGTGTTGATGTTCCTAAAGGTTGCTTGAAGGAATTACTTTTACAATGTATCTTTATTGTCCAGTTTAAATTACAAAATAAAGTCAACAACAAAAACTAATGGTGTACTAATGGAATAATCTTTGGGTCTACCTTCTAGTTAACCGTTTAATCACCAATCTGGAAAAATGGGAAAGCATCAGGACTTAGTAGCATATAAGCTAAACCATTAAATTCAGATATAGAGAGAATTGCAAAGGTGTTACACATTATAGCCAAGAAAAATTTGAGAGAAATAACAGGTATTATTTGAATAGAAAACAGGGATACCTCGTCAACATATTATTTATTATTTATTCTAACACAGATATTGGCACAAGGAGGCACCAAATATATATGCGCCACACAGAACTTATTTGATATGTGTGAGGGCTGGGATACTACCCGGGTGCCAAAACCGAAGCAGATGTTTTTCTTAGGGGGCCACACACAGAGCCTTCGACCTGAAGGTATGATCCACAAGGTAGTGGAGCAACGTAAGGAGATGTATTCCCATGGAAGCCGGTGACCAAAGATTGTTTCATACGCCCTTTGTTCCCTCAGGATACTGGAGCCCACGTACACCATTGGTTTGGAACCAGGGTTTTTCAACTCCCCGACGTGGACTCTATGTCCACCAACCCGGTTAAAGCGCCGGACATTCGCTTTTCGTCTTCTCGATTTCGTAAACAACATTCCCGCCACGAGAAGGCAGTGAGTAGGACTTTCCTGGAAGAGGCTATATACGTGTGGCCATGTGAGAGTATTTCGAGAGGGAGAGCGGACTCTCCCCACTCTCGGCCGAACCAGGGCATTTGGAGGCCAAGATATTAACCAAAAAAGATTTTAGTGTAGGAACTACAGAAGCGTTACACTACTGTCAGTACAAGACATAGTTTTCAACAGTTTTGCTGAAACGAATGAAAAATCCAAGACACCCAACAAGCAGGATTTTGTTAATACTGATCACATATCGAACAAATCGTGACACTGAGGATCATTTATACGAATATTCATCAATATTTGAACGAATAATTTGACAGAAATTGGGCGTCGAGTACAGAGAAGTCATTATATGGGGAAATTTTGATCTAAAACCAAATTCAATTTGATTTAATTAATAGTAATGAAAAAAGTGTATTGAAACAGCCTTATTTATACAGCCAATTAAAAACGATGGTGACATAAATATGAAGACTCTGGAGTTTGCTATGAAGCGAATTCACATGCTTACCTCATACTAGGTGTAAGTAAACCTGAAGATCTGTTTGAAGTATCAAATCCTGTGCTCTAAATAAAAATTTTGTGAAATAAAGAGATACACAGTAAGTTATATAAGTTCAGTTTAAAATAATACAAAAAAATATGCGTTTTAACATTCAGACTTATCACATAAACTTGACAGAATGTAACCGTGAAAGTCGCAAAAATAAACTTACTAGCCAACTTTTGAAATACAACCATAAAGACCTCACTACTTCTAAATTTATCCCACATGTTTCAGATAAACGAAGTAAACTTGTAAGGCAAACGTGAACTTCGCTATTATTAGGAATAGCCTCCTATAAAATAAACAGAAAAATCAGTTTTAAGTTCGTTATACTGTATATCCATGATTTCTCTGGTATTATGAACAATGAGCAGGATCCTTTATGATGTAATGAAGATGTAATTATTTAGAAGTGATAATAAAATCGGTTTCGATTAAATCAAGTTTTTTCGTGACGCCAATCTCGAAATATATGCTTATGGACTAGTCAAACTATCCTGTTCCCTAATCCGAGGGGGGATGAGGTGAGCAGTAGAAACCCAGTGGTTAATGGTCAAGCACTAACCAGTAAGCTACCGTTTTACGCATTAACACAGCTCAAATAAAGAGAAATTAGTTTTCTCTTATAGAAAAAATGATCCATCCACAATCATATATATAAAAGCGACCCGGAAATTTCTATGACAGCTAGAATGAAAGCAAAGAAGTCCTTTAGAATCTAAAGTCTGGGGTACTGTCAGATTTCTAGTAGGAATATCAAAAGTGGGAAGTAAGAATAGCAAACTGCAGAGGCACGAGAAGAACTAAACACGCATTTTGGATCCAAATGCAAGTCCCTAACCAAACTATAATCAACAAATGTATGACGTGTTGAGAGAAACGAAGTGATTTTGACTGGATAATTAAGCTGAATAATGCTGAACCCAATCACAAGGAAGTAAACAGAAAAATCTATTTGAACTAAATATTAACCTTAAGATACAAGAGTCCTAGCAGTCCGGTTTTTAACCTTTAATAACCAAATTTCGCAATCAAAAATAAATATAAGTCGATTCTCATCTTCTTGAATATTCAGTCCTCTACAATGGAGCAACTCGTATCTCGGTTAGAATTTATTACTTCGGGAAAGGCTTTGATTTTAATTGAGTTTAAATTCTTATTTCATGTATTTCGGGTTTAACTACTACTAAATTATTTTCTCATCAGTTTCTTGATTGAAATTACATAGTATTTTCATTATCATCAGCAAAACACTCCTTTTTATACAAGACATTTCCATTAAGGATCAGACTTTATTGGTACAGGTGTTGCATTCCGCCTTACTCGTACAATATCATTACAATTTCGGAGAAACTTTTCAATTAACCGTGCAACTTCCTGTTTACACTAACCATTGTTAGACTTCTGAATGAATTAATGCACGCAATGTAATCAGCTTAACTACGTTTCCAACCATTTATCACATATGAAAGTAAAATATTTAGTTGAAATGTCACATTGAATTACATTTCGAAGTAAAATTTTAAAAATATAATGTCTGAACGTACTCCTAAGAACTGTTGGCGAATCAACCAGACCACAACGGAATACTTCTGTAATGACCCCAACCCAACCTTGGCATAAAAAGGGAAAGGTATTAGAATGATCGTTATTTAGTTTGATTAATACAAAATATTTCAATTACAAATAAATAGTGAGTTTGAAGCTCTTTGAACATCATAGGAAATCCTTAACAACAAAAACAAGTACACACACTACCAATATGAATAGTAGAACTTCTAATGCCCCGAGAAACTTTATATCGGAACATGATGCGAAAAAAACATGGTAAATAATAGACTTCAAGCTCGTATATGACACCTAGTCCAACACCCTCAACGTAAGTAAATTATATATCTTAGTTTCATTTCTTGACAAAATTTGGAGAGATATGAGCTCCGAAATTCTAAATTATTTATCGATCTCAACACATAAATATTGGTACAAGAGGGCACCAAATATATATGCGCCACATCATATTTGTGTGTGTGGGCTGTGATACTGCCCGGGTGCCCAGACCGAAACAGGTAGTTTTCTTAGGGGACCACACCCCGAGCCTTTGACCTAAAGGTCTGACCCACAAGGCACTGGAGCATCGTGAAGAGATGCATTCCTATGGTAGCCGGTGATCAACGATTGATTCATACGCCATTTGTTCCCATAGGATACTGCAGCCCATGTGCACCATTGGTTTGGGATCCGATTAAAGCGCCGGACATTCGCTTTTCGTCTTCTCATTTTCGTAAAGAACACCCCCGTCACGAGAAGGCAGTGAGTAGGACTTCCCTGGCAGAGGCTGTGTATGCGTGGCCGCGCTCACACCACTCTCGGCCACACCAGGGCATTTGGGGGCTCTGAAATTATAAACTGAATACTAGGTCTCTGGACGTAACAATATCTTATTATAAATGCATGTACTGTGTGTAAATTTCGTCGTGAAATAAATATGTAATGAAGAATTCTGCTAGATGGTTTGACCGAGCTTCTATATTATAACCTCTAAACATTGAGTCAGGAGTAATTGAATCTAGAAATTTAGAGGAAAGAAATAGCGTTAACTTGGGAAAGATGTTTGCTTGTAAAATTAGTTTAAGATGTATGATTCACTAACACAACGCAACGTTTATCTTCTTATGTAAGTCAAAAGAGAGGAATACACAATATTGCGGGAAACAGTACATGATTTTCTAAAAGAGTTTGAAATAACTAAAATAATCGACCAGTGGCATGTTAGCAAAAATAAAAGTGAATGAAGTACCTTAGACTGATTTGTATGGTCTGCATACAAACTGTGTATGGGAGTAGTGTATGCAAGTACATTCCAATACAAAGACCACACAGTCATAGAAGATTGGTGGGAAATATCTAAACTTGAGGATTGAAAGTAGGACTTGAAATTAGGACGAATACACTCTAAAGTATTGAATTCTAGTAAAATTAAAATAAAAAAGGAATGAAATTATTACACAATGTAACCTCGGACTTACATAAGAAAATATTAACCGTTAAATAATGTTAAGATCCTTTTAGATAAAAAGGCATCAACCTGAACATGAAAATCAAAAGTTAAACAGAAATAAATGGATACAGTTTAGAAAGACAAGTCTTAAATTCAGGTGATATTTCATCCATTTTGAACTCAACCACGAACGCTCTAGACACTACTATTGGTTTTTAAAAATAAAAAACATAAATACGCAGAAACAAAAAAATTAGAATTGCTGCTTCCAAAACTACAAATTTTATGGAATGTAGCTCCAAAAGTTAGTGTTGTAAATAATCATACAAACGTTTTACAAGGAGCTATTTATTGAGTTATAAGCTTCCTCAATTACATAGCCAACTTAATTAAATACAACTGTAATGTAAACTGTTTGCAGAAGTTTGAAACAGGGACATAAAACGTATGAATGTTTGGCGTTGGGTGCAGATTTATCACAGTAGAGAGGAATAATCTCAAAAAGTGTGAATACTTTTAACGTGACTATAAGAAATTAGTAATACGATTTACCAACAACTTCAAGCTTATTTTAGCGCTGGATTTATGCTAAGGTTAAATTGAGTATTAACTAGAAATGCAGCAGACTTAATAAGTGCTAAATGTCAACCATGGATTTGTAAAAGCTAATAAAACATACCAGGAAATTCTGCTCTTTGTTGAGCATTCAATTTGATCATTTTCCCATGGAAAAATTTGAACCAGTTTTTCTGAGTCTAAAGGATGTGAAAAGTCAAATGTACGGCTGGAGGAATAAACCGTGTAAAAACTTAATATATTCACGATAAAATTACCAGGCCATATGATTATATATTTCAAGGAAAACAAAGGTAGGAAGGTACAAGTACTTCTAGTCTCGGCACTCAAATATGCCTACAACACTCGCACACCAATGCTGATCGGAAAACAGACAAGGTTCGCTATATCTTAAGGAAGTCTTAACATCGGTATTTGTTGTCTATCCGAGACCCGTATTCAGGACTTCTGTGAAGTACTACAAAGTTGCTCTCCATCTGTTGCTTCGGAAAGCTTGTCTCATTTTTGTTTACACGGGGACCGTATAGCATCTTCGTCTAGTTCTTGTCTCACTAAACGCCAGAGCTGAGACAGCACTGATCGATCGGATTTGCATCAACATTCAGTCATGTGCTGTTAGATTAGAAGGCTCCATCAAAATGAGTATTCGGTGTAAGAAACGATGTATTGATCACATATATTTCCACCTTCCGCCAAACTTTAGGACGCCGTCATGCCTATTGCAGCGCAACGCGTCGTGACATCAGGCCCACCGTCAGTCAGTTAGACAGGACACGTTTCTAGAATTGTCTGTTAAAGGAGAATCTACCTGGCAAGTTTATTAACATCTTGAGGGCCCCATATACAAACACCTCAGGCAGAGTGAGGGCATACCACCACCTCTATCAATTGTTCCATCCAAGCAGTGAGGTTGGGCAGGGTTGCCCAGTCAAAACATTCCTCTCCAACTTAGCCATCGATAAAGTTTTAGAGACAGCTCTGATATACGTAGGTAACGGTGGTTTTGGTTTGTAACCTGGAGAAAGACTTTTCAACCCTTAGCATGCGGATGATATTGTCTTACTGCGCGATGATACTCAAGTCATACAATCCACACTCAATTAGTTGGCAACCAATATCCGTACGTCTGGCGTGTGCTCTGCACCTTCTAGGCGCATAGTACTTTTACAAGACTATCAGGACGCTAAACCAGCATTCTCTCTGAGTCGTGAGCAAGACGAAGGAAGTCTAGAAGTGCGTGTATCTGGGTAGCTACGTAAGTGCTGGTTGTGGTGTGAATGATGAGATGAATTCATGTATAGTAAAAGTCAGAGCAACTTATCCCAACCTGGGCCATCTTTGGCGCTTTCGTGGTATTAGTCGTCTGACCGTAAATGGTTGGATCTGCAACGCGTCGGTAACAACGGTTTTATTCTATGCTTGTGAAACCTGGCCTCTCCGAGTTGAGGATGTTAGACGACTCTTTGTGTTTGGTCAGCGTTGTCTCCGAAGGGTTGCCGACATCGAGTGGCTACATCATGTTAGCAATGCAGAGGTTCAGCATCGTGTGTTCGGGCACAGCGACGATAATTCAATTAGCATCACTTTTGTGAAACATCGACTTTGGTGACTCGAACATGTACCACGAATGACGTCCCACAGAATTCCACGTCGTGCATTATTTGCTCATGATAGGACCGGTTGGAAAAAGCGTATAGTTGCTTAGTGTATGACATGGTGTCGTGTTATGAAAGAATGCTGTACATGACTGGCCTCTGATAGTCCTTTATGACTCCCTGATTGAGGTCCTAGAGATGATACAACACAGTGGCTTGAGACGACATCAGACATGGCTCAGAATAGAAGCTAGTGGCAATCCTGCTGTAACTTTCTTTTACTTTCTTCATAAAACTCAACTTCTTTAACTGAAAGGCTTTTTCTCGTATTTTTCTTAACTAAACTGCTTCCTCCATTATTACTATTTAACACTCATACATTAATTTCTGTTCATTATTGTTGTATGGCGAATATGTATTTGGTACTCCCTTGTAACAATCTTTGTGTGACAATTAATAAATGGAGTTTCACTTCTAATAATAAAGCCAAATTTCATAAGCACTGAGCAGCAACCACGTCAGTAGATATTAGAGTTGGAGGAGATTGCCATCATTAAGACCTACAACGCGATCAGTATTTGAAGGTAGCTTTATAAGTCCTACAAGAATGACGAGAGAGCGGTGGGGATTAGTCATCGAATGAGCTAAAACGGGAAGTTCAGTTGCAACAGTTCATATCAGTAAAGTGAAGGGAAATAAACCAGGAGAAAATAGAAAATAATAATGCCATAATAATGGACAGCTTAGAAACACGCGAAATCAGAGAACGTGTTTTACGTAATAATAATTGAAGAAAATACCGAGTGCGTTCCCGCTACTGCGACTGATGTTTGTGCCATGCTATCTCTGATAACATACCAAGACTACAGTCTCTACAAATTTTACCAACATTCAGTGACTATCAGCTGAAACTATTAGTCTAAATGTTTTAGGACTTCTCAAACATATTCCTACTCTATTTAGCATATCACGTCACAGTGGGTGCGTCAAGCGTCTTAAACCCCTTGGTTGGTGTTTACAACGCCACTAACGAAGTTATCATTGTTACGCACCGTAGGCCTAACATCGATATCAGTCACTAAGTGATTTCTTAAGTGAACAGTACTTGGAAGAAACCCAAAATAAAAAACTCGCAACCGCTACTTTGCAGATGATTAATTGAAAGATCATGGATTCAAAAATGATCTTATGTGAAGTTCTTGAGCACTAGTCTATTTTACAATCGGCTTTCACTCCCATTGACTTGATGTTAGCACTACAATCCTTTAATCAATGTCTCATAACACTTTAGGACTACAGACTACCGTATATTCAAGCCAAGTAGGACACCATGAAGGACTATTTATCTGAGTAGTAGCGACTGATCTACCCCCATGTCGAATAAATTAACGAACTAGAAAATTTCACAACTCAGACTAGATTGTGAGGGGTAATCGGTTGACAAGTGTTGAAAAAATTGATTGTTGAGGGTTTTTTTACATTGAAAATAATAGATATAACACTAACTTAGACTTGCGAAAATTGACCCGACCGTTGTTGCTATCCTGACGTGGTGGTCGGGCTTGCCTATCGTGATGAAGCAACCGAGCTATACTGGCTGGAACAACCGTTCCTCAAGGTCCTACCATGTCAGACAGGTCGTTTGAAGAGCGGTGAGACTAAAAGCAACAAACCCAAGGTCTGAAGGCGAAGTCGTACTGCTGACTGTACAGAGGTGTGACAGCAGTAAGGTGTTTCCTTCAGACAACCAGCATGACAGAGATGCTGCCTTCTCACAAGAAAAGGTGGGGGTAGAAAAGGTCGACACTAAAAATGTACATCTCGCCTTATCCCACGGTTATCTGTCTCCGGCGGTAAGGTCTCAACAAGTACGGAGCTAACACAAAAATTACCCATAAAAAGGTCGTGTGACCGACCCCAAGCAGTTGTTCCTTGGGCACTGCGGTCACGCTCTCAGGTCACTAAGACCACCGCTAATCCAATTTCCTTTTCAGGTTCCTCCCCCTCCTGACTGACTGCGAAAAGTGATATATAGTATCTATCGCAGTACACTGACAGAATATCAACCATTTCCACATACCTTTCAAACTATACAACCGTAAAAGTTGGCATTTGGATCTACCAGGCTGAATAGTTTAAAGTGACTGTTGAAATAAATGTCTCTCAGGTGTATTTGCCAACATGACTTTGTGCTTTACTCAGGCTGGGTAACAGAAATCAAATTTATGAATGACTGGGATGTAACTTAAACGTTTGTTCCTTTAAAGCAGACTGAGTCTCAAGTAATAATGACGTATCGAGACAATATGTAGTGCATACATAATCAAATAGTACACATACAATTACGAACCATCAGTAAACTACATTCCGTTGTCTTTTCATGGTACCACTAACACTACGAAATTGCAGAAACTTGAAGTTGAATATCCAGATACTAGTGAAGGTTTCGTTGGTGAGTCACGTTAGCAATATTAAGTGACGTGAAATCAAACTAGTTTCTTCCTATAGTTTAACCGAGCATTTATACGCTGGAGGCTTTCACAGTTTCGGAAAAGAATCAATGTAAGCACAAAAAGTGAAGATTTTAGCAAATGTGAGATGTATAAAGTTGACGGCATTGTCAAAGACATTTCAAGAACGTAGTGTGATAAAAATGAGTGCATTACACTCAATTTAGACGCAAACACAAAATACAAAACTAAAATCCAGTATGAAACCGAAAGCAAACATGCCTTTTCTACGAAATGGATTATGACGACCCATAAGAGTGCATCACACGAGCACCTTCGAATGTTAGTCTAAGCACTGTTAATATTTTACTCGGGCATTTACCAATCCTGAATAAAGTATTAAATTTTCCAACACAATATCCAGAAAGTAACCACACGCGTTTAAAGAACTCTGTGGTTTTAATCCAAGCGTCTCATTTACGAGTACCACATATTCTACGAATCGTTGGATTAGATAAATACAATAACCTGCTTTGTTGCAAAGAAAATTGAAGATTTTCAGCACTGTCAACCATATTTCCAAGTGAGCATGAATAAGATTTTTGTTTGCCTATTTGGACGGTAAACAACAACAAAAAAATACTTCTTCTTTCACCAAACTCGCAAATGGTCCCAGGAAACCCAAAATTGAACGGATACAGCCAACTAATCGTACAACTGTACGCTTTTCAAACTCCGATTCCCTAGAAAGCTATAAACGATAAGAAAACCTTACGTTACGGAGGAATATAGTGCGAAAAGTAGGAATGAAACATCGTTCCTAAGGACTAGAAAAGAGTTAGGTAGAAAAAGTCTCACCTGAAGAACCCCGCTGGAATTCAGAAGTGGATTTCTTGAGCAAGACTAATTTGTTTCTGCATTCAATATCAACTTTTATTTTTGATTGTCAAACCTCAGTAAGCATAAAATCTCTTGAGGATCAGCCCACTGAACAACGGTTGTTTTCGTTTCAAAACGTCTGGCAACGATAAAACCGAAACTTAAAAACATACGACAAAAACTTGATTGGATCTACTGTTTCACAACATAACCCTAAAAACGGTACTGGTTGTTGCACATCATCTGAAATGCTCGGATGTACAAATTCATACTTACAATCGATTTCGGCCAAGAAGTCTGCATCTAAATCTTCAAAAAATATAGCACCTGTCCCTTTAAACTCCGGTGAGTCCGGAGGTGTCCAAAGTGCTGGGTCAGACATTCAACTAAGGCGACTGAGCATCGGTGTTACGAGACCGTGACCTTGTCCCTCTAGGTCCTACTTTCAGAATCAAATGGTTCAAGTTGTTGTGGATGAAATGGAAGAGGCTTCCACTTAAGGCACTGAGGTATCTAGTAGCAATCGATCTCTGAAGCCTCAGGGCAAGGATTTAGTTGTATTTTGAGCAGCGCTATTTAAAAAGAATAGTTGTATTTTTCCTCGCTGAGTAAATTTTATTATTTTGATCGTTTATTACGTATCAATACTACTTTGTTCACTTAAATTGAATTAATTTCAGTTAACGTATTTTCTAGGAGTACCTTTTTTGCTTCCTTAGAGGTTTATCGTCGATACTCTGGAGCATTTTGTTCAGGTGTTTCAAATGGTTGTGGACGGAATAGATTTCGCTTAACAGGCTTCCGTGTATAGTGGCATTGGATCACCAATATCTCCAGGCATAAACCTAGGGATAATAACTATAACAGATTAGAAAAAGAAGAAATCGGTAACTCGTAATAAGATTTTATCCTGAGTTCTTAAGAATAGGTCAAGTTTCCTCTTAAAGGGCTCTCGGGAAGTCGCTTGGAATAGTTCAGTCGGCAGCGAATTTTAGCACTCGATAACTCTTAAGGAGTAGAAGTTGTGCCTACAGCCTGTTCTGCCATGTTTTATCCCCAATTTCTGAATGTTACCCCTTAGGTTTGTATTAGGGCTAAGCTTAAGTAGGTGTTAAGGATACTGTAAGCCATCAGAAGGTCACCTTTAAGTTACCTATACTTTAATGGGTAAAGGTTAAGTGACTGAAGGCGCTCTTCATAAGGTTTGACTTTAAGTCCCCGAACTGATTTCGTGGCTCGCAGTTGGATAGGCTCCGGAGTGTGTTTATCCTTTTGAAGTGGAGGAGGAAATACTATGTTTCCGTACTCTAAATGGGGACGAATAAAACCGTTGACGATTATGTGGTAAGTTCTTCCGTCAAACTGACCAAAAATGCGCTTCAATGTTACCAGTGCAAGATTTAATCGAAAGGCATTTTTGTCACGGTTAGCGTAAGACTTCAAATCGTAGAGCACCAGGACTCCTTTTTCTTCTACTCCGGATACTACTAGAGAGGAGTTTCTTGACTTGTAAATGTAGTCTGCGACATGTCGCAGATGAGCTACTTTACACTTTGAAGTGTTAAAGGTAAATCTTATTGTGTTCTATCGTGTTTTTAGCACTTTTGGTTCTAATAATTACAGTTTTCCACTTTTTGCTCATCAATTTCTTTTGTCTCTGGGTAACACTGTATTTAGTTTCCTTTCGAAAACCTGGTTGGTGGCTGGACAGTGCAAGAAAAGAAGTTGTAAACGCCTAGGTTGTCGACGCCACGTTGGAAGCGACATGCAGTGAGACGAGTACAAAGAATGGTACTACGAAATTTGCACATATATAACGCCTGCGGCCTTCAAATGATATAGTAGAAGTGATTTCGTGTTGTTTTGTCAGCAGTGCTGCTCGGACGCAGACAACCTGCCAACCGAGAACATTTCAATGTTAAATGTTGCCAAAAACTGTATTAGCAAACGAGGCCGAGACTCATCGAACAGTACTTGCTCTGTCGATATACAAATTGATGTAATGTCACTTCAAATAAGCTCATTAATAATGGAATTAAATTGGTCAAATAAGGAAAGATCGACTTTAGAGACGTTTATCCTAAGTAAAAACTCAAGAAAAAAAGTCCTCCCTGTCCCCTGTCCCTTAAATTACGGCCAGTAGGCAACTCCTTAGAAAACCAATCACGAAATTTGATCTGTTTCTGGCAGCAAAATCAACCTTGCTTCTCGGCTCGTCGATCATCATGCGGAATCCCACAGTGTTTATGACATGACTGGGGTTGCTGCTGCAACGAAAGCTGATGATTGGGTAGAGGTCGAGAACAAGAAACGACATAACGCTATTAAAGAAAAACCACACACCCCCCCAACAAAAAACGTAGGCGAGAAATCGAAGACTGGTAACAGTGACAGGTCAGTTTTATTTCAAAGAATCAAGGAGAGTGAAATCTCAAAACCTAAAACTCGTTTTCAGCCTGACATTGAGCTTCGAAAAAACTTGGCTGAGACAGCCTTTAGATAGATGGGAACTTGATTTTGAAGGTCTCACGTTAGTAAGAGCCGACAGAATCAATAAGCGTAAAGCAAAGGGGGTAGCTCTATTCATTGGGAATACTATCCCATTTATTATTATAGACAGTGTTTCCCATGAGAGCGAGACGTGCGAATTATTTAGTTGCTTCTTGAAGTACAAAGGACGAGACCTGCTGATTGGCTTGGTCTAAAGCAGTCCAGGCTGTGAGGTGAATGAGGTTTTGCTAGACAGTCCAAGCACTTACTCACAAAGTGGTCGATTTTTAATCCTAGGATACTCTAATCTTTGACTTCCATATGGTCGTCAAAATCGAGCACGCGTCAGCATAACTCAGACTTAACGTCTGGAAAGCAAATATAGATGTTATAGACTCAGCGTCGTCAGTAGGCTAGACAATAAAGCCAGAGTCCCAATTAACGCAGCTTGTGATGTATTATGAAGTTTGTGCTTAAAGGTTAGTGCACCCCACATCCCTCGGGGCCGAGAAACTTTCCACCATGGTTCAGTAAGGAGATTCGCACCCTTCTCCATGAGCGGAGAAGAATCCGTGGAAGATTTAAGTTACTGGGGACTGACGAGACAAAATCTCAATATCGAGAGGCTCGAAATACTCGTGCCTCGACCCTCCGTAAGTCTATAAGATTGTACGAAGAGAGAGCTCTTAAGGGATCTATAGAATACCCTAAACGATTGTATTCATATACAAATCAAAGGGCTTAAAGAAGAAGAAATATTCCGGAACTATGAGGAAACAGTAATACTTCATCATTGGTGGAGGACGGCCATGGTGAAACTCAAGTATTCTTAAACTACTTTAGCGATTTGTATACCGTAGAGACACCTCTCAAGTCAGTTCATACAAATTGCACATACACACACTGAAAAATGCGACCGTTAAAGAGCTTAATGTCTTCGGTCTGCTAAATAAGCTTGATTTAGGCAAATCTGTGGGACCCGAATAAATGCATTACTAAAGAGACTAGCCAATTTTGTTGCGAACACCTTAAGTATATCTTTTAATTTATCCGTGACCCGTGGTTGTTTACCAAAAGACTGAAAGAACGCCATAGAATATCCTGTCTTCAAAACATAAAACTGAGAACTACTGACACGTTAGGCTAACCAGAGTGGTTTCTGAAATTTCGGAAAAGACTACTCGGTGAAAAAACGCGAAATTTGACTTCAGCAAAGCCTTTGACAAAGTGCCGCACAACCGGCTGTTGTATAAGTTAAGAAATGTCGTGGTTGAAAACAATCTTTCAATGTGGACAAAAGACTTCCTAGATGAGCACAAATAAAGAGCACAGGTGAACTCCAAGTTGTCTAGATGGGAAACTGTGCTTAGCGAGGTGCCTAAGGATACATTTTGTTATTCCTTCTATGTGCGAATGATCCTTCTCGTCTGTTATATTCATCGGTATTACGATATGCTGACGATGTCAAGATATGCAGAGCGATACCAAGTAAGAGTGATAGCTCAGAACTCCGAAATGACGCGGAGAAATTATCTGAATGGTCTTAAACCCGGCAGTTGCCGATCAGTACTTCCAACTGTATTGAGACGAATATCGGTCATCAAGATACAGGTACATATGTAGTGGCATTGGACAATAGCCACACAATCCACAAAGCTGTGAACACGAGACTACTCAGAAAATAGATATTCAATATTTAACTCGGGGAAATGCCTAACAATGGAGAAGGCGCGGTGAATGAATTGAATGGACTAGAGTTGATCGAACGGCATGGCTCGGCCATGCAGGCGTGGTCCCTGCTGAATGTTATCTTATATCTTCTATTCATATTAAATATAATGTTCTTTCTCTAGCCTAACCTTATTCTACATCACGTATTGGTAATCGATACGATGCAATGAGTTGGCGTAGTCGATGGTGTGACTTCCACGTAAGATCTTATAGATTAGGCAGTTATATCATGACAAAGCTACAAATTTAGGATTAGGTCTATTATTAGAGCAGCACTAATATCATAGTAGACCATAGTTCTACATTGGTGAGCCCAACTAAAGAAACGCAACCTGTTATTGTCAATCCTTATTTCCACCTTAACCTTCTCCATCGGTTTTTATTTTTGTAAACCCAGTATTCTAATAGTCCTTTGATTAATGGTCACATATATTATCGTAATGTTATATCTATTAGTTCACATAACTTACTAGCTCAATCGATAATAAAAGTTGATCATCTATATCAACTAATTAGCTTTGATGGTTCGTTAACAAGCTTTAGTAGCATTTACATGCTTCAGCAATATAGACTTGTTTAAACATCAAGCTCTAGTAAACATGACCTGTAAATAGCGTAAGTATACATTGACTAACAATGCAATGAAGGACTAAATAGTTATCTGGACCTAATTATCAGTGTTCCTTCACCTAACACCTCATCTTGTTTTAAACTATGCTTTATTCCGTAATATCTTTTCTTCTGACCACTGCCTGCCTAATTTCATATTTTCGAGTTCCATTGCCAAACAACAAGGATGACACTTCTCCAAAAACATACGGTGAGTTTAATCTATAGGTTTTCTGCAATCATAAGGTCATTTTAGATGGCTCGTTCAATAACAACCATACAATTAACTGAATTCATTCGATTGTTCTAATCCTAGCGAGTGGCAGAAACGTCAACACCATCAAGCACCCTGGAATTAATTGCCATACTGCATGTTTTATTCTGGATACTTCTGAATCATTACTACTCCTTACGAATGGCGTTATATGTGTCGTCCACTGAATAATCTGATTTTTAGAAATAATCCAGCTGATTACAGTATGTTTCTCTATCAGTTGCTCATTCAGTAAATATCTCAAAACCTTGTCAGTCTAATTGGAGGTTTAGCGACACAATAATGCATGCAAATAATCAACATAAGCAGTCGAGC